TTGCTGATTAAACATCTTCAGGGATTTCTTGAAACGCTTCAACTCCCTTGCACACTCCAACGGGTTGCTTTGCCACTGGACCAACGAAAAAACACATCCAGCCACCTTGTTTCTTACCCAAAAGTGAGTTTTAACTTGAATTAACTCCAGCAATTATTTAAATAAAAGTCAATTTTTATTTTTTTTATACATACTAATTAATATTAAAAGAGCAATAAGAATACTCTTATTTGAGGAATTAAAAGGAAATTTGAGGAAATTGAAAACATGTTAGTCTCTATAAAATAATACTTCCCTTTTCTTTTTGTATGTCTGGAAATCTTTTCTTTCCAGCTTCAATATCTAAAGCTATATATGATTCTGAACATCCCATGCGTTGGAACTACTGTTGGCCAAGCAAGTGCCCTGTTGCATCAGATTTGGATTTAGGCACCACTGCATATTGAACACAGAGTTATGGATTCATGGCTATGGACAATGAAATCGTAGCTATTATATAAAGAAATAAATTTAATTTTTATAAATATACCACTCTAATGTGAGAGTTGCACTTAGTTGCAGAGTTAGAAAATAATTTTAGAGGAAATCAGAATGAAATATTGATTAAAAATGGACAACTAAGAATTTTAAGGATAAAAATAATAAAAAAACAAGTTGATGAACTTAATTAGTTGTTTTTCAAAAGTTTAGGAAAGCCTATAAGGTCAGTGCACCTTTTAAAACCACTTGGAAGGAGACTAGTCCCAATTAAGGTGCGCATCCGCCCTCATTCTTGTATGCTATTATAAAAGGAAATTGTAAGGTTTATGTTTATACTTTATTTCAATTCTTTAACTGCACTCATAGAAATTAATTTTTTTAAATGGATTAGACTGATATAAAAGATGCACAATTAAAATTGTTTAAGGAGAGATCGATTAATCTAAAAATATGAAAAAATTAGCTAAAAAGTACTCTTACGGTAAATATTAAATTTTTTTTTAACTGCTTATGTAGAAATATATAAGTTTGTCAATGAAAATTCCATTAATTTTCCTAAAAACGTTCTCACATGAGTGACATCACACAGACACCACGTTGCCCAACAAAATTATATTTAACCTTCAATTAACATCAAAGTTTTTGTTTTCTTGACCTTCTTTTTCTTTTAAGCAATTGATGATGTCCTTTTTAATTTTCTAATCATCGCCTCTCTTATTTAAAAAAAAAATATATATATATATATATATTTACCAACGACTTGTTAATTCGAGTGGAAGGAGTTCGGTTTCCCTTAAGTAAAATCTCGAGTTTGACTCATGTGAATGGAGAAATAAGTGTTGAGAGAGCTTCCTCCCAAATGAAGTTTGACGCGACTCGATTCTGAATTAGTTAAGATCCAATATAATTACCAGATATCGAGAGATTAATACCAAAAAATATATATATATATATATATATTTTG